GCACCTGACTCCCGCTCGCTAGGCTCCGGTTTCCAATATAATTCATTTTTAGCCTGGTTTCCTCAGGAATTAGAGCTATGCAACTGCAGGGGCAGCCTGCCTGTCTTTCCTGTCCGCTTCTCAGCCCCCTAAAGATTCTTGAACCTGTTGGCCTATTTTTACCAAATATTTCAGAGATTTAGAAGTCTCAGAGATGCTTTAACCCCTTCAAGCCCCATGAAGATGCAGTGACTGCAGAGAGGAGCAGCTCATCCTGGTGCAGCCCCAGCACGTTCGCGTGCACAGCGCTCAGCCCTCCACAGCATATGCTGCCTCTCTGTCTGCCAGAAATGTAGAGGCGTAAGAGGAAGATCAAGCTCTGCTGTGAGGAATTAGGGAGAACGTAAGAAGCAGCTGAAGGAGTCACGGGAAAGGGTGACGGAGATGGGGCTGTTACATTAGAGAGGATGCAGAGCCTAGGGGGAAGCCACCAGCATTATCGCCGTGTGGGAGGATCTGGGGAGATGTGTGAAATGATTGCTGAGAAACCAGACCATCAACAAAGCAACTAAGGAACTATTTGTTCCCGTGACATAGCTGTGTGCCAGACTGAAAAACATGGCAAATAAGGATTTAGGCAGAGAAGAGAAATAACTGAGTCAACAGCAAATCATCAGAGCCCTTTGCAGCAAGACTCTTTAATGAAAGGTGAACACATCATTCACCAAACCTCGCAGTCTTCTAATTCTTCGCTGGCATCGATGATAAAACTGCTAAGCAGCATAACTGAACACAGCAGAAATACTCCGAAAACTCTGTTTTGAGTTGCAGAGCCTTTCGAGAAGACTGTGTGCTTCCAGTATTGCTCTTCCAGTCAACTGTATTTCACAAGAGTAATTTGGAGTGGGATCGGCCAAGAGAGAATGAGAAAGCTTAACTCATTGCATGGGCTAGGTCAGCGCTCATGCAATGGGCCTTATTCAAGGCTGTCACTCTACTCCACTGGGCAAGAAAAAAGTACCTTTTGCTAAGATTATGTTTTACTTTTCTGGGATTTGAATTGATTGTTGAAAAAAAAAAAAAGAAAAAGTTGGACATGAACTAGTATGCACTCGAGAGTGCTGTGAGCTGCTAAATCATTCCCAGTCCCCAAATAATTTAATCTGATCATATGGAAACCATGGTGGACTCAAGAAACATGGGTAGGAGTCTGGCAGGTGGCCAGGCAGTGAAACCAAAGGCTTTCTGTCCTTGGGGTGGGAAAGGTACACTGTTGGCATGAGCTCTAAAAATCAGGAAGTATCTTGGCCAAGAGGAACTTGGCACAGCAACATCTTAGTTCTGCTGAGGAACTGTGTATTCCCTTTGAAATGGGAACATCTGTGGAGGAAGGGTAGAGTGCGCAGATACAGTGTCATTTTATGGCAGCCCCGCTCAGTCCGGGAAAGCTGATCCAAAATGAACTGATGCAGCCAGCTGGCTTTCGGATGAATGTGATTGTGGACGAGATCAAAAAGCTACCTAGTGCTATGTCTTCTTGGATAACAGTAGCAATACGAATTTCTGAGCATCGGGGGGGTTGCAGTTGGAGTACATAGGTGTCATTTGAGCAAACATTGAGCATTATTTGGATTCTTAATCATTACTTGTATTGACTCATGACAGTAATGAATCATGACTGCAAAGGATAACAACACCACACAAATGAATTTGATGTCTACAGAGGTCTCATGAGCAAGTCACTGCAGTGACAAAACTTGGAGCAAAAGAATCCGAAATTCAGCATGCAAGAATGGAATAAAAACAGAATAGCGCGCCTTGGCTCACAAAGTGAAGACAGAAGCTACACGTGCGTGATGGGACCTCTTGGATTCAGCTGTGCTCCTCATGGTGTTGCTCGCTACACAGTATGGCACAAAGGCTTGTGCTTGCTCTGAAATGTGCAGCGCAAATGTTCATTAATGCTATTTAATTACTATCACTCAGGTTATTGCACTTTTTATTTTGCCTTTATTGAACTTCAGAAAATATAAATCATTTTCTGAAATGGCTCAGTTGCAGCATTTCTGTAAATGTGGTATTTCCTACAACTGCTAGAAACAGAGTAATTATAGAGACTTTGTTAACCAATGAATTTCTAAAAAGTAAATGAAGGTAATTGCTAGCACTGCACTTCTCCTTGAGCTTCCCTGGGGAAATTTCATTGTTTTTTGATTAAAAGCAAAAATGTTCTTTCTCTCTTTTCCATTCTTTGAAAGAGCTATAAAAACAGCAAGGAAATGCAAAACCCAGAAAAAAAAAAGGGGGGGGGACCAGGGGGACGGACGGACTGCAGAGATACTATAACAAATGCTCTCCAAAGAGAAAGAAATATTTTTAGTGTCTTTAATACACTGTGTTACATTGGCATTACAGGAGTGGGCACTTTCCAGTTTGCAGTGGTCCTTCTGGTGCTTATTACCTCTCCTATGTTCCTCTGGCATTAAGAGCCGCCCTCAGGCTGACGTCCGTGGCGCTTGGGTTTAATTTCTCTTCAGTGTTTATGCGTCGCTCCTGCTGCAGGGCCTTCCTTAGCCGACCCAGGAGATGGCAGCAACGCAAGCTGCTTCGGTGCCCGTCATTCACACACCGCCTTTGCTGCCGAGCGCGGCCATCAGGGCAGCCGCCAGCGCGCGGAAATCATTTCTGGAATCAGGAAAACTGTTTTGAAAGCAGCAGGCTGGCGGACATCCTCCTCGCGTCTGTGAGGGCTGAAAGATGCTGTGAGGTAAAGTGTGGTAAGAGCTTTGCTCAGCTCTCAGGATTAGAGGGTCTTTTTTCTTTCAACGTCTAAGTTACAGATATCAGGGGTAGAGGGTAAATAATTATAATAAAAAAAGCTTAAATGCCCTGACTTTCCTTGGTTCCTACCCCTGGAATACTCCAAACTAGTCTGAAGCCATTAATCTCCACAGCAAGCAGCAAGCAGCATTGATTCTTGAGCAGAGGACGGGGATCCTATAGAGGAATCAAGAAGATCATAAACATGGTTTGAGGCTGCTGGATTTTAACCTGCATTAATGACGGGGTGAGAAGAGGCACCGGGCACGAGCTGTTTATGTAGCTGTGTTTACAAAACCTGTGAAGGAGCACGTAGAGCCAAGGAGACCGCTTCCTCCAAAGGAGCAAGTGTGAGCACCGGCAAATTAACATACATATTTCCCAGAGGACAGAAGCGTTATTAGGTGTGTTATAAGCCTTGTCAGCAGCCGCTGAGGAAGACGACTCTTATTTACCCTTCTAAACACGGCCCAGCCTGTGGGGCAACACCATTGTTAAACGTTATTGACATTGGGGCTTGTTTAAGTCAGGATTTATCAGGCAGGATAAAGGTCTTATTCTGTGGCAGGGTGGGAGAAGGGGCAGAGCGGGCGAGGGATCGGGTCACAGCGACGCTGCACCCTGTGGACACAGTTGCTTTCCACAGGTTTTCCATGAACTTTCAGCAGTTGCTTTTGTAATCAATTTATCCTCACAGAAAGCCTAGCACCTACAGCCTGGGCTAATTGCTTGTTTTAATGAGGGAACACAGAAAAACCCATTTACAGAATTAAACACGAACCGGATAGCACTCTTCCTATTGGTGAGAAATCAGCTGTGACTACCAGAAACAAATGGTGCTATGAGGTTTTATGAGGCTTTCTTGAGCTAGAAATGGTAATAATTCCATAATGAATAGATTTTTTGTAGCTACAAGCAGATATCACAGCAGATATTCCTGAGATTTATTTTTCTTTTAAAAATTAGAGATACACAAGTAATGTGTAAGGATCTCCATTGCATGAGAATCTCACTCATACTGCTTGGAAATGCAACCAGGTCATGGATTATTTTGATGCAAAAACACCTTGATCTAAAAAAAGTACAGATCAAAAGGAGCCTCCCTTAGTTATACAAAACCCAGGACCTATGAAGTTAGTTAATTTGCAAAACAAAAGATCATACCTGGGTCTGGGTTTGTTCAAAGTTTAATCACCATGTGCCTAAGAGCACACAGGCATGAGGAAAATGGGCTTTTGGATCTCTAATTGCCGCTGCAGTTGGTCTGCAGGAGAAGGGAAGTCCCTTAAACAGCTCAAGTGCCATTACATGCTATGACTCCCTGTGTCAAAAATATCATTATAAGCTACAGGGAGGATTCATCTGCTTGGGGTCTATAATAACCCAGTGCGTAAATCTGCCTCTCTTCCTTATTTCCTGCCACTCAACTGAATCAAGAGGTGACCATGATTACATTTTCAGCAAGTATTTCCCTCCTGCCTCTGCTACAGCACTCAGGATCGTTGACAGTAGACTTGTGTCCACCAAACGTTCCAGCCACCGGCAAGAACACTGGGACAGTTCCACTGGCAGTGGTTGAGGATGTTTCAGCCAACTGCAGCTAAAAATCATTGCAGGAAACTGCATGGCCCATGGCAGAAGACCTGACACCCAGACACTCAATGAGAAACTGATGCAGGACTCTGTATTTCCCTCTTTCTGTATTGTTCTATCGCTTCTTCTTCCTTTTTAATCTTAAGATCCTCTTGCTGGTCAAACTCAAGAGGAAGATAGCATAGCTTTACCCGCAGCCCTTCCCCCCAGTGTCATTCTGAATTTCCACTAGCATGTACATGCAGTAAGGTATATTTTTCACCCCTTGCTTTTGGCGGTGGGCATCTACACAGTGCTTTTCATGGTCACATTCTGATTTCCTTCAAGCAACCTGCAAGAGTCGCTTCTGGGCTAGAGAAAAGCCCTGGAAGGACAGGGAGAGTGGTTCCCCATGAAGACTAGGAGTTTGTGCTCCGGGTTGCGCTGGGCTGCGCTGAGGCCATTTCCAGCCCGGTACCAGTCTGCCCGGATTCTTATTTTCCAAGTGCATACTTGCATGAGTCATCGCGGCGGGCGGGCACTGACACCAACTGGAAATCCCAGATATTAATGCCCTCCACATCCCTTGTGCAGGAGATTTCTGTGTGGGCTGCATCCTATTTCTGCACCATTCATGACCTCTCTTCCCTATTTTCATCTGAAAGTACTTCTGTTCTGGCCTAAAGGGTTCTCAGATCCCTGTAAGACATATATATTTTTCCCTTTGGAACAAAAGCATCTGTGCAAATATTAACTACTTAGCACTAACAATTTCATGCTCTCAGTTTTGAAATGCTAAAGTAGCTTTTACATCCAAGATTGAGCCTTCAGCTTTGGGATTTATGTACCTGGCTGAGTGAAGCCAGGCCCTACACGTAACTTGACAGTAATTTCTGTTTGTGTTTGCCTGCAGTAGGATGGCCTTACAAAATTGCATTCAATCATTTCCAGGGCATTGGAGGAATATCATGGACATCCTTGGGCAGAAACTGCTTGATTTTGAGGACGAGAAAGGAGCAGTCAGAGCTCCTAGTCAGCATATCGAGCAGTTTCAAGAATAGCTGGAATTGTCCACAGCTCAAAATATATATTGTTAAAATCTACCAGCATTAAAAATATACTCATTTCAGGTCTTCTCCCTATAAGTCCAAAGTGTTTAAAGAACTCTGAAGAGAAAAAGGAAAGGGATGAGAGAGAGGGGGTTCACAGTGGTCAAGGTGCAGGGAAATGAGGGACACAGAGTGAGGGAGAATGTGGAGACCGTGAATTGTTAAACAGGCAGGGATGGGAACACACAGTCATCCTGCAGGGAAGAGTACAGGAATGCTGCAAGTATCTGGCCTCTGTCAGGACTTTGGCATTACAGTACAACAAAGTGTACAACCTGTTACTAAACTGTATTTGCTCATTTTGTCCTGGGCCATGTATCTATCAGCTCCCTTGATAGAACACAAAAATATCAACCCCCCTTCTTTGGAAATGACCTTTGTCACTGCTCTGTCTTGCTCAACCAGCTCTCTGTAAGCCAACAGCTGAAACAATCTTTCCCCTCCAACAATTAACACTCTGGCTATTTCCCATTTTTGCTGAAAAAGAGAAGTACAAAAATATTACCTCGGTGGGTCTCAGCATTGTGGTGCGACTTGCAGTGACAAATCACCTTTCAAATAAACAGCAATAAGTTCACTGACTGAAAGAAGACAGGGCTGTAACTACATACTAGCTCACAACAGTTCTATTATTGCATTTTCCTCCATTTTTTCATGAACAGATGTACAATTAAAAATGATACTATTCAAAACTGGCTTTTTTGGTGGCCTTGTAAAAGTATGGGCAACAAACGGGTGGCTATTCAACACAAAATAAAAATATCCAACAGGAATTTCTTGTTTGGGGAGCAAGCAGGCAAATATTGCCACTAATGACGAGGACACAAAAAATCAAGAGGATGTTAATGAAATTTAAAACCACCATGTAAAGTGGGAAGCAATCTTTATAGAGGAGGTTTTAAATATTGTCCAGGCTGACCATGATACCTCGGCTGATAAAAACAAAGCAAAAGGTCATGGACTTGAGCATTCACATTAGCCTCAGATCTAAACTAGGGAGCTAATAAACTGTAAATCATGAGAAGGAGAGAAATAATGAGTAGGATTCAGGCCTGTTAGAAGTAAATATGATGGCAAAATATTTCAGGCAGGGTATTTCCAGTCAATAAAGAAGGAGGGAAGCTATTTACAAGATGGTGACCAGACTTTATCCAGAGTCCTGGACATCTATATTCAAGAAAGATAAATCTATCTCAGAGTCAGTGCAAAGGCAGACTTATTGACAGATCAAGAGACGAAGAACAAGGGCATGACAGCCAGGATGCACGCTGGCCAACCTCAGGCACTTCACTAAGCACAGTCACCTGGGACTCACGCAGTCAATGGAAAGAGATGGGCATCTCCAGTGAATCATTCAGCTTACCTAAGTTCTGACTAGGCTCCTAAATTAGACATTTTATTAAACCACTTTAAGCTGGGCAAAATTAATAATGCCCTCAGGAATTTGTGTGGGGCCCTACAGGCAAAGGTTAAGAAAGGAAACAGCTGCTTTCCGAGAGTAAACACCACAGAAGGGTTGAAGGACCTTAGTAAATAAATACTAGTAGATAAATAGTGGCCATGAATAAAGGACAAGTAGATAAATACTGGCCATGAATAAATTCCCACATGAAATCAAAATTTGGGGTGAGCTTTGGAAAAAGCCTTCCACGTATAGAGGGGCGAACAAGATACTCAATTAGAAATAAATTGCAGTGGATTAATGGACGGTGTTATAGGAAGGAGATGCCTGGAATAGCAAACATTTAGATAGGCAGACACAAAAGGTCCCTTCCAATCCCTTGTGCTATGCTCTTTTGTTGGATTTTTCTTAACAAATGCAAATGGGCCCAATCCTTTATATCTGCATTAAAGGTGATGTTTTGCAAGGCTGCCTGTGTTTTGGAGGAGTTAGGACAACGTGCTGCTGCTGCAACACTGCTCAGCTGCACCGCGCAGAGGCGCAGGAAGGGGGAGCACAATCTGCTTTCCTGGAATCCGAATTACACAAGACCAAACCCACCAAGAACAGCTACTGTTCTGGGTTCCGAGTTACCTCCATGCTGTTCCCTGCAACCCAAGTAAAGCGCTTGTGCCCTCCCAGAGCAGGGAGGCCTGTTCCCCCAGGCACCAGGCAAACGCAGCGCAAGGCACTACTGAGGACTTGTGCTGAACGTGCAACGGCTTTGGTTAAAGCTTCAGAGCTGGGATAGTGTCCTCTGCTCTTTAATCCTTACTAATTTTCAAGGGAATGAGCCTCTATATACATTGCTCGGAAATAACGGGACAGAATCAAGGACATATCTGATTCCTCTAGAAGTTACCCAGAATATTGGCTAACTGCCTCTGTCAGAAGGCTATGGTGCAACAGAAAGAGGTTTCCTAAGGGGACCGAGATGTGCACTCCTGATTATCGTAGCACATGACAGGGGAAAGGCTGTGTCACAGTCCTCCACTTCATCCAGCCCTGATTTTTTGAAATTTATTTTGGGAGATGGAAGTTGTAAAGAATAATAGGTTTAAACTTGAACCTGCAACTAAAAGAAAAATTCGAAAAATTACTTTTCTTTTTTTTTTAGAATAGGAAAATAAGTTGTTTGTTTTCCTCAGCAATACTTAGCATCACAGTGGCCAATATTAGGAAACTCAACAGTTTGCAAAACAGGCTGAAAAACAAAGTGAAGTAAGACACACTGAGAACACGCAAGTTTTTAACAGGCACAAAATACTTGCTTTTACAACACAGCTTTACAACAGCTCCAGTGTTTATTACTCGAAGTTGTTTATTCACTAAAGCCCCACGAGAAATAACAAACCTGGAGCTCCATGCAGGATTTTTTTGTGTGTGTGTTATTTGTTCACCTTTGTGCACTATTCTAACAAAATCTTCCTGGCTGCAGCACCACGTTGCCTGAAAGGGCTGGAGGTTTGACAAGGAGTCTATTCCTGGTTTTTCCATTGGGGGGGACAGTCACACCGTAACGCTGTTATTGCTAGGGAGAATGTTTGTGGTCAGTTGCTATCTCCAGTGACAGAAGTCCAAATTTAGACATGAAATTAATAATGGCATATGAACGAGAGAGCTTAACCATGCACTGTTTCTTTGTGACTTCCCAGGAAAAATTCTCACTGATGTCCAAGAAAATTTGGCATGAAGAAGCCATAAATATGGAGCAAAGAATCTGCTTCAAGAAAAGGAAGCCAGTGTCAATATAGAATGGAAAAAATCAGCCAAAAATGTCAGGACTGGGATTCTGAACCTGAGCTTCAACTGAATGCAATATACAGTATCTGACTGAGCGTACACACGTGCTGCTGCAGAAATAGTTCATTTAACTGCGATTGTAGACTTAAGAGAGCATGGTCTCTTTCTTTTATCTATGAATATTGCTTCTGATATTGCATCTCAAACCTAAACAACAAAAAAAGATTCTGACAAGATATCTATGATCATTAACTTCTCAACCGATTTGACTGATTTGTGTGTCGTTTCTAAAAAGGAAGACAAGAATCTCTCTGCTGGACTTACTAAATCCATCCCTTTATCATAAAGGATTGAACTTATTTCCTGATAAATTCCTTTTTTTTTGCTTTCAAAATGCCCTCT